GCCGGGAGTCTCTCTCTCTCTCTCTCTCTCTCTCTCTCTCTCTCTCTCTCTCGTGCGCGCACCCCCCAAATCCTATCCATTAGGAGAGGGAAAAGCGACACAAATTCACACAATCATTGAGATCCGGGGGGGGGGGGGAGCGCAATTCTTTGAAATACCTCCCCATTAGGAGAGGGAAAAATTGCACTCTCATTGGCAATTTATAGAAATCAGTTGTACTCCTCGTCTAAGGTTCTAGTTGCATTGCACGGCTTGCTGTCCACCAACATTTTGAAGGGAATCTGCCCATGCAGTTTGTCCAGATGCATTCAAAATGTCAGCGGATGGTGTGTCTTGTCTTCGTTGAGAAGGTACCATTGAGAGCAAAACTACCCAGCGCATAAGGTGAGAGGAGGAGGAGAAGAAAGAGAAGCTGAAGAACAATACCTGCAGTTTTGGACGCAAGGTCTCTGAAGAAGACGACCTGAATCTATGGACCGCTGGGTGAGACGATCCCCCCCCAGGAGCTCCACCTTGAGCTTGAGATCCGCCTTGAGACAGAGCTCCGCCTTGAGGCTGAGCTTTGACTTGTGCTGGAGATTTTTCCCCTTGCGCACTTCCTTGAGAGGTGCCCTGTGAACTCTGCAGTCCAATTGGCGCCATCAACGAACCCGCAGACATTGCTGAAAGTGAGCAATTGGAAGGCTTAACTTTAAAGAGAGAGGGGTATTCTTATTCACGAACACCAACACGAAAAGAAACCCAAAAAAAAAAAAAAAAAAAAAAAAAAAAAAAAAAAAAAAAAAAAAAAAAAAAAAAAAAAAAAAAAAAAAAAAAAAATTAAACAAGATTTGCCTGAGCATTACATCCGAATTCCTTACCAAATTTGAAAAAAAAAAAAAAAAAAAAGGGGCTTGCTGATGGGCCAAGGCCAAAATAGGTAGAAGCGTATACCCACATAGCCAGCAAAACCAAGGAAGCAAGCAAAATCAAAATAGGCACAAGCAGGTGAGGACTAACACGAAGTCTACACGGCATGGCATTCACAAATGCGACGGGTGAAAGGTGTTCACGAATGGTTAGGAAAAGGGCGCGACTGTGTTTTTCAACGATCCCCAAATTCTTTCTCTCTCAATTCCAACCACAAATCATCACAAACCATGCATGAACAAGAAAAGGCATAGATATTAGATAGGCAAAATATAATACGAGATGCAAGGTCGACGATGTTTGTGTGGTTAAAGTGCCAAGTGCCCACACACCCGTCTGCCGTTGAAGCGGCACACTATCACAAGTTATATAGGTATTTTTACTATTTATGATATTTTATATATCGTCAAGCGGCACACTTGCACAAGTTATATAGGTATTTATTTATTGTATATCGTCAAACAGAGCTGCGCGGTAAACCGTAGGCAAAGAGGGACAAGAGGGAGAAGAGGGGCTGTGACAAACTGTTCCGTCAGAGTTTCACCGACTCATCAGGAGGGCTGAACCCTATATATTATAATCCATAAGGCAAAATACTCAACACAGAAGACTCCACCAACAAGAAAAACACAAACTGACCACATCCGCCACCAATGGTCTGAAAAAGCTTGGAAAGCCCTCTGTGTCTGTGTGTGCACTTGGGAAGGAGGGGAGGGGGGGGGGGGGGGGGG